GGGACTAACTCTCACTTCTCACTCCTCGCGACGAACACCACGGCCTCATTGTCATAGCATTCTTGTTCTCGGGACCTTCTGAGTCGACATGCATAAATCCCTGTCCACCACCGCTCCGGCCCGAACAGTTCCTCCCACTGACATAATGTTGCACGACACCTCATCAACCGTGGGCACAGACAACAGACCCTTTCGCGGATGCACTCCGCTGCAGTTGCACGTGTCTGTTCGCGTGCGCGTAGGGACAAAGTTTCGGCTGACTACACCCACACCAGGCTAAAGAGGTCGCGTTCTAGAAGACTTCCGCTTCCTCCGAACGTGCAGCAATGTGGACACAACCACGCGGCTACTGCGTGCTTCATGCAGCCAGGTGGGTTTCTTCAGCCTCGTCAGTACCTATTGCTGCAGTGCGCCCACCCTAGTGCTGTCTCCAAATCACCTTTGGATCCGGCTACAGTTGTGGCTCATTTCCCTAGACGCATACACCTCGTGTCGGTACCTTAATGCCAGGGCAACCCTTCGAACGCCCATCCTGCTTGCATGCGGCACAGCAAACTCCTGACGCAGCCCCCTATGCGTTGGCAGCCAATCTTCGAGCAACGGTATTCTACCCACAGCTTCCCCGTTCCCAAGGCCTTGTTGCTGGTTTCGCACCCGCGAAGCAGTCCAATGTCTGTCCAGTCAGTGGTGTTACGGCTATCGATCGCTGCTATCCAGTGTCTTGGGATCCAGCCTTACAGAAATGCGCTCGAGCGGCACAACCAACTCGAATACCACGAACATCAGGATCACGATGAGCTACCTCCTCTGCGACTCTCGCTTAATACAAGGATCCATTAATCTGCAACAGGCGGGCGTCAAGAGCCCCTTGGTGGTCCTCCGTTGCCTTCATTGGCTGGACCTACATCCCGCAATGCTGACTACCGAATGCATCACATCCGGAAACTCCAGTCTTGTACTAGCGCTATTATGCATCTGAGGACCACCCACAGGATGTGAAGCACTTATCTTCGACATTCCAGCTGAGCTCTCTCTGCGAGCAGTGCTTTTGCCTATTCTTAGCGCCATCGGAACCAGAGCCTGTTTGCACGGACTACATATAAGAGTGTGTGGCGTTGAATAACGTCCAGCGCAGAGTGGTCCTGCAATGCCTGGACTCATGCTGCGGAGAAGATGCTGAAAGCCTTCTCTCCAGAACCAAATTGGGGGAGTCGATTATGTCGCCATTAACGTGGCTGAAAAGCCTGACGAAAACTGTCTTCACATCCCTACATCGCTTAGGTGCAATACCTCCACTTCATGCACGTAAGCTATGGATATCCCAGCACGCACGAGTTTGGGGTGTGCAGATGATTTCTTGTACCACGATAGTATGCGTGGTCCAGGACGGGAAAACTCGTGCTGATCGCTGTATTGACGGGCAAAAGAATCGATGATTGTGGCTTGCATGTACCCCGGAAAACTGCCAGAAAAGAGTCAAGGCCGGTATTGATGAGATGATCGCCCATACCCTGTCCATATTCTCATAAGTGGAGCACACCGCCAACGTGATCACGAGTACACCATGCAAGGGAAAGATTGGACAGATATCTGCAGCTTGCACCGGGGTGGAGCATGTAGATCAAGGAATTAACGTAGGCTTCTACAGTCTATCATACCAGGTGATTGTTCTTCCCCTTGAACAGGAGTGATCTATTCTCGTCCCGACTACGATCCGCCACCATACGGCATCGCACTTTGAGCAATACATCGAGGTCAAAAGGGTCTTCAGCAACTTGCTGTAAACAACTATGGGCAACCACTTTGATAGCCTTGTAACAGTCACCCAACATCTAGAACACGCTCGCACTCCAACGATAGGTGGCAAAATCAGGACGACGTACTCTTAGGGGCCGATCGTTTCCTAGACAATAGCACGAACACAGATGGTTGGTCCATCAGGAACTCCAGGCAATCTCCTTCATCAAGCCTATCTGTACCGATGAGAAAGCAGGATAAACGAATCATCATTGACGAAGACTTAAGCAAGAAAAGATTAGTTGATAAACGACAAACCATCACCTTTCCTGACCCATACTCGACGAGTAAAAGGTCAAGAACCAACAATACGCAGCTTTACCTCATAGTCCACGACTCAAGGGTTCCTGTGTCACAACAAGTAGTCTACAGGTGATTTCAACCCCCTAGAACTCATGTCGTAGAGTAAGTGTGGGACTGACGTTACCTACATGTCGCATCGATGGTATTCAGCGGAAAAGTATCTGCATGCAGAAATACCCAACGAATACAAAGAAGGAAATAACAGCAACGAGGAAGAGCAAACCAGGGATGGTTTCAAGGATGGCGTTCGATGCATCGAGGGCAGGAGTGGCGTGCCGGCTGTGCGCAGGTATTGTCGTCTTGCAGCCGAGATGCAGTGGTGTAGGCAGAGGAAGACGGAACAAGTGATGCGATGTGAATGAGGGCCCAGAATCAAACTCAGGCAGCAACCGCGGTGATCAACTTATCAGCCCACCAATATACACACCCAAAGTCCCTCGCGAAAAGACTTCAAGTTCGAGCGCGAAGCCCACAAGAATCAGGCAGCATGCGAGATGGTTGTTTTGTCTGCCCGCGAACAGGCTAACTGTGCCGTTGGTTGTTTTACGGCATATGTGTGCAGAAGATGAGGGAAGGAACAGATAGTGTTCTTGTTTACAGGCTGGGGCTCTTTTGCTACTGAGCCAGTCACTTGACTGGCTTCTGGTCTCGAACACTCTCCATGCGAGAACGGACGCACTGTGGACTTGGTATAGTGGTGTGTAGCGAGCGCAGTCGGATCTGCATGGACCCGCGTAGACCCAGCTACCACCAGCATCTCCGCTGCGAAGAGCGTGAGTCTATGAGGGGCGAAGGAAGGCGGTAGCGACTCACCGTGTTTTGAACGGAGTGTGAAGGCATTGTGCCAGGTCTATTGGCTTGCTCGTATATGGGGTTTATGTCCACCACAACACGGCTTTCGCTGATCTTATGGAAGCTATCTTGATGTGACTTCTAACGAATAGAGTACAGCCTCACTCATGCACGTCACAAAAAGAGAAGTATGTTCTATGCAGGTGTCGACATCCTCCAGTCGAGGCATCATCGACATCAAGTCCCACTAGATCTCACTCGTTCTGGCGATCGAACAGGAAGGAGGCAGAATGAGGGCGAAGAAGAAAGACACATAACCACAACCACAACCACCCGGGTTATCATCGGGTAAACCCCCAACACTCCACATACTCTCAGCCCTAGCTAGCCCGATATCAGCCAACTGTGCGGCACGTGCCGTGCATGGCGATCTGCCGATTCCCAACCATGAAACTATTGGACGGAAGACTACTTCCTCGAACGCCCCAGTGGCGATTCTAGAAGAAGCTGAAGGTGTCGTGCATGAAGGATATCGTAGATCGGGTGCTGATCGACGGGCACCCATGGAGGTTGCCTTTGCTTTTTTAAGGCAGCATACTATGAGTTTGGTATAGCTTCGCAAAAGCAAGGGTTTGACTATACTCTGGGGATAAGTGTTTTGGTGTTGCTGATGTCTAGTGTAGCGTTGTACTACGGGCTGCTGTGCGAGATGCCATGTGGTGTGTGAGTAACATGGATGAACCTGTGGATAGCTACAGAAGTCTGTTTACGATAAGCTACACATGCTGACCCTTGCCATATCATATCCATAGTGACTTTAGGCGTACCAAACTTGATGCTGTATGTAGCTTTCCGTGCTTGTGAGGAATACGAGGTTCGGGTAGTACGGCGCATGCGGACATGGATTCGGCTGTATGCGCAGTCAATAGAAGCTGGAAAGAAGTTGAGTCGATCAGATAGCGCACTTCGCGGCGTTGAAAACGCATAGAGTGTAGCCAAACTATACCATCTTTCTTTTATATTGATGTGCAGTGCGGTGATACACTAAGATCTGGTTGCGGTCGAGTCGAGCATGCAGATGGCGTAAGCAGGCATATATGTTGCACGACGTACAGTCGAGGTCTGCGGAAGAAAGTCTGTCTAAGATGGTCTGGATGCAGGCCTTGACGAGATCTTCGTATACCGAAACATCTCCGGATTGTCAAAGAACCCTTCCAACGTATCTGGGAGGGAGGGATGTGACGGGGTCGGCCGGAACGGCGCGAGGCGTAATCCGGCTGTTTGCATCAGACGTTCTTGTCTGGTTTCTTTGAAGTCAGTCTTGCAAGAAATCCTTGAGGCCGGCAACGAGCAATGTGGTAGACTCCGTGGGTGAATTCATGCACTCCTCATCCGGCTATGAGAATTAGGTTTATTCACCCTCTTGTTGCCCTTCTTGGTCGACACGATGGGAGCGCCGAGAAGACCTTCTCCAGGGTCGGTTTCCCTGTGTTGTCTTGACTAAAACTAACGCGGTAGTCATGCTCGCGTCGTTCCAGTCGACAAGTAGAATTGTAGACGAGGATTTGATAGCACTGAAGATGGATAGGCCCTTTTCCGAATGTCGAGGTCGCGTTGCTTCCACATTTGGTGCAGGTTTCTGTCCAAGGTGTCATAGATACGAAGACAAGCTCTGAACGTTCGCTTCCACCAACACCCGATGAGTACCTGTGAGTTACCATCGCTACCAATTGCCATGTGAACTGCGAGACCAGTGAGTCTTCTTGTCCTGGCGATGACCTGGCTCGCTGTCATTGGTATCGACCTTCACAGGCCAGGCAGGCGAAAACATCTGGCCCAAGGCAATCAGGCCACCTAGGTGGAGTATTAGATCATAGACCTCTATTGAAGGTGTGGCGCATTGTTCCTGCAGACTTTAATCCAGAATGAAATCGTTGGAAGCACTTTCACCTAGATGGGTTGTTGAGGGTACGAGGTTGGTGGTGGCCGGGGTCCGCTTAATGTTGGTGCTTCCCGATCCTCGGTTCGACCCGAACACGTCGCGACTGCCCAGCACCACTTCGAGCAATACACGATGCACTCAACCAGCAACTTCAGCCCCTCACGCCATGAACGGGGCAGAAACACGGATATACGGTGAATTGCATACGACGGGCCAGCTCCCCACGCCTTCCTCGACGCCCGAACCGGACGATGTGGCACCTCCGAGGGGCCGCCGCGCCCATGAAGCCAAAAGCGAGGAACCGCTGCAGAACATGACGAATGGCGCCAAAGCCGAGCCAAACAGCGCAATCAGCTCCAGTGCGCCGAGCAGGAGGCCCAGCGTGCACGAAGAGGCCATTCTCTCCGACACCAGCGAGAAGATACGGCCTATCAAGCGGCCTGGAGACGGGCGGCGGAGGAGCAGCGTTTCCGAGCACGAGAAGATTCTCAAACTCAGTCCCCGCCAGATCCAGGAACTCACGAGCGAGCCTGCGAGCATTCCCATCCGAGCAGCCACGCCGATTCTCGAAGACGAGCTGGAAGACGCCACGCCGCTGGAAGATGGCGATGGCCAGGGCAGCAACAAGCTCTTGGGCGTCGTGCTGGAGCGGCCGGTGGAGCTCAATGGTGAATCGAGGAGAGAGAAGGAAGTCGTCCTGATCAAGACACCTGCAACCGAATTGCGCAACGGCCGCCCGGTGCTTTCCTCACGATCCGTCACTACGCCCTCGCTCCCACGAAGGACCACGTCAAGGTCGCGATCACGCACACACAACCAGACACAAGAGACAGAGGACCGGAGACATAGCAGGCATATCCCTCCGCCGTTGAGTCTGGACCACAGAGATGGCACGTCCAAGGGCCACGACAGACACAAGGAGACACGCGAGATACGTGAGCAGGTCTCTCCGACACCAATCGCTCTCCCGTTGCCGCCAATGTCGATGCCTACCTTTCTTTCCCTAGAACTCTCCGCCAGCCGTCCCTCTCCATTGTACATATACCGGCCCGCGACGACAGACTTTCCCTACGAAACATCCGAGATAAAGTACGAGCGCTTGCTCAACTTCCTAAGGATACCACTGAAGATCGAGGGCATACTTGGATTTGGAGCGCTGGCTTGTCTGGATGCATGGATGCACGTCTTGACAATTCTGCCCCTTCGCTTTCTGCTCGCCATTGCCATTTTGGTCAAATGGTGGGGCTCAGTCATTGTGAAAGAGTTTCGCCATCTCTGGGCTTTTGTCTACGACGGTCTTCCTCGCCTTTGGCAGCGCAGGAAGCAGACCGATGGCCCTACGCCTTTACCAACACCTGCTGAGGAGGTGCCTCCGTCCATGTCGCGGAAGCCATCATCTTCTACCGTTCCCTCGGCCAATATGACGGCCAGGCAGAATCCTCAGATGTCGACGACATTCAAGTTTCCAGACATGAACGAGCTCAGGGCGCGCCGGCCTCGAAACTCCCGATTCCGTCACCGCCGTACCAAGTCCACGCCTTCTACACTACAACCCAGCCACAAAGCAGACATACTGAAAGGTCTACTGGTCATTGCCAGCTGCTTCGTCTTGATGCGCTTCGACGCGAGTCGCATGTATCATGGCATTCGTGGACAGTCAGCTATCAAGCTGTACGTCATCTACAACGTCCTCGAGGTCTGTGATCGCCTGCTCTCAGCCGTCGGTCAAGATGTGCTGGAATGCCTCTTTTCTCGCGAGACGCTGGACCGTAATCCCGACGGCAGAAGCAAGGTCCTCCGTCCATTTGGAATGTTCGCACTTGCACTGGTATACACCGTCGCCCACGCTACAGCGCTGTTCTACCAAGTGATAACGCTGAACGTGGCCGTCAACTCCTATTCCAACGCACTACTGACGCTCTTGATGTCCAACCAATTCGTCGAAATCAAGGGCACGGTGTTCAAGAAATTTGAGAAGGAGAACCTTTTCCAGATTACCTGCGCAGATATCGTAGAGCGTTTCCAGCTCTGGCTCATGCTTCTCATCATTGCAATGCGCAACGTTGTCGAAGTAGGTGGCTTGAGTATCCAAAGCAGCGACACCTCTTGGACAGCCATGTTCACTGGATCTGCCAACTCGTCTTCTGCGACCGCGTTCAAGGCTACGAGTATCATACCTATGAGCTTTACTATCTTCCCAAAGTACATTGCACAGGTACTCAACCCGTTCCTGCTGGTGTTGGGTAGCGAGATGTTTGTCGATTGGCTGAAGCATGCGTACATTACCAAGTTCAATCAGTACAAGCCAGAGGTGTATAGCAAGTTCTTTGACGTTCTGGCAAAGGACTACTATTCTAATGTAAGCCGTCAAATCCTAGTATACTTTGCTAGCTAACACTTCACAGGCTTTTGCTGACGCGGACTTGACACGACGTCTTGGTCTGCCAGTTATACCACTGTCATGCCTCTTCATACGTGCTGCCATCCAAACCTACCACATGTTCATTGCGATGCACATGCCGCCCCCCCTCCACACCACATCAACATCCCTCTCTTCGGACCCGACATCCTCCCCCACAACGACCGCAGCACTAGCCCACATCGACCACGTCTTCCGCCGCGCCCTAGGTCGCTCCTCCTTCGGTGCCGGCATCCCCTCCCAAGCCTGGTACAACCCCCTCTCCTACACCCTCGACGACCTCATCGCCGGCTCAACCATGCTCATCGTCTTCCTCGTCGGCTACCTCATCTTCCTCGCTTTCAAACTCATTCTCGGCATGCTCCTCCTATCCGTCAGCCGCAAACGATACCACGGTATGCAGGAACGAGAGAAGATGAATGTGGAGACAGGGGGTAAGAGAATCGGGGGATGGGGCGTTGTGGATGTAGACGAGGAGAAGAGGAAGGTGATTTACGATGATGATCCTGAGACGCTGAAGAGACTGAGGGAGAGGGATGAAAAGGGCAGGAAGAAGGAGCAGGAGGAAAGGGAGAGAGGGACGAGCTTTGGGCATGTTAGTCGGTATGCGATGGTTGCTAAGAGGATTTGGTGATTGGGGTAATTGTATGTTGTATATTATCAACTGATCAATCATTTTTCAAGACTTTCTCCATACATACGCCAAATTACTGATGCTGGAGAGCACTCGCAATGGTACCTTGATCTGGGTGAGGGGCTGCTTACCAGCGGAAAGTCCTGCCGAGGTTAGATGATTGGTGCAGCACGCTAGCGGCACGACTTCCATCCGTAACGGCCGCAACGGCCGCAACATCCCCCATAACATATATACATCGATCACAAGCTTTATCATTGGAGATCCGTCATCTTAAAATCAACGCACTACATCAGCGCCGCCTGCTAACCCTTCAAACACCAATCTGACACTTTCGCCACACCCAACACACGTCAAACCTCTCCATCCAACCAAGATGACCAACCAACCCAATCCCCCACAAAAGCCCTTCATGGAGCAACTAGCCCTACGCCAAACCGGCGAAAACGAATTCGAAATGATCAACTTCCCTCAGAAAATGGGCAATCCACTAGACATTGCCTACGGCGGCTACACCATCGCCGTAGCCTGCAAAGCAGCCTGTCTCACCGTACCAGATGGCTACAACCTCTACTCCCTCCAAGGGAACTACCTAGGCCCTGCATACACCGACCGACCTCTCCGAGCCAGCGTACGAGTAGTACGCCAAACCCGCACCTTTGCAACGCGCCAAGTCGAAGTAAGCCAAACGACCACTCCCAAAGAAGGCCAGAAAGAAGAAAGCAGAATATGTCTCCTCGCAACCGCCGATTTCATCATCAGCTCACCCACGTCCCTCCTATCCTACTCCCAAACACACACCCACCCCGACTGGCGCGACTGTCCTACACCGGAGGCGGCCTTCACCGCGCTCGTGGAGAAAGGCACGGTCCCATTAAAGCTGAAGCAAGCCCACGAAAAGGGCTTCAATCTAATCTCGCACTTCTACGACCAACGCCTCGTCCCCGACAGCGTCTTCACCCAGAACCTCTACGGCATCGCCGCCTCAGCACCGCACACCCAAGACACCCTCCCTCCATCGGAGCGCAGCACCGCGGACTGGATCCGCAGCAAAGAACATCTCCCTACTGCTACCGACAACATGACTTCCCTGACCTTTCTCATGGATCTAGGCATTGCATTCTTACCCCTCTCGTTCAATCATATGTGGTTTGGGGACGCGAGTGCGGTGTCTAGTTTGGATTTCTCCTTAAGGTTGTTTGTGGATACGGAGGAGTTGAAATTGGATGAGGGGTGGTTGCTGAGGGAGTTGAGGTGTAAGGTTGCGGGGGAGGGCAGGAGTTTTGGCGAGGGTTGGGTTTGGGATGAGGGGGGGAGGTGTGTGGCGCATATGACGCAGCAGTGTATTTTGAGGCCGCTGGCGAAGAAGAAGGGGGAGGGGAAGGAGAAGTTGTGAGGGCTATGTGGCAGCTGAAATCTAGACGTGCACGTGTACATTGTAGACGATCTGTGACTTGTAACTAAGGCGCAATGGTGATCTAGTACAGGATGATTGGAATTAATTTTAATTGTGCTAGCTGTATGCTAAAGGGCGCTGTTGTTGTAAAATCAGGTTGGAATTTTCCGTATGCATTTATGCGTGGGTGCCTTATAGATGTTCAGTCTGCAAAATCTTCTATAATGTCCACTCTCATGCGGTACGGGAGAAGATAGATAGCGATACATAGTGAGAAAGGCTTCCTCAGACGTGCCGTCGGTTGTCTCGATAAGCTCATCAGCACTACCCCAGGCCGTCCCGCAACGTTAGAGATATATCTGGGTGGAATCGGACCGACGGATCTGTGCGGAGGGAAGATGCAATAGTAAGCCGGACCCCTTCATGTCCCCGACTGCGGATGCTACGACGTATATAGGTCTCTCACGTCCCGGTAGTCTTGGACACATTCAGCGGGCTGATCCTGCATTCGCTACCTGTCGAGATGCACTCAGCGGTTCGGGTAAGAGCATCGCCATGTCGATTCTTCGGTAGCGGTCTCGACGGGCTGCACAGCATGAGACCGGTGGGAATTGATGAACGCCTGAGTAAGGTTGCTACTGTTATATAGGCTCCAGTGTCGCACTCTTGGCCATCTTGTTGTATTCGCGATAAGTTGGGCAACGGCTGGCCACACTGACAATGTTGAATCGCTGCCTGACGCCGTGCTGGAATGAAATCGTCACATGGTTGAGGAATACCCGACGTCTGCAGATAAGAGGCCAAGTACTGACTGAACCTATCGCAAGTCCAGTAGCTCGATCGATGGCTTGATGACTGCCTAGATGACTGTGAGTGGCATAATATTACCCGGAGCGTAACATGCCAGCGCTGACCGGCATAAAGCAGTCGTAAGATGCACACCGTTTAAACGGCATACAACGAGCTCGAAAAAGCGCGCACAGTCAGCAGTACATACCAACAACATACCGCGCGCGCATTTGAGGTATATGTCGACAGACCAGCCCCCGGCGATCGGAAAGGCCAAGATCCGCTATCCTCGCCGTATCCCGGGGACCAACGACCTCACAGACCCTCTCTTGCGGCACGACGATAAGCAGCCGCAGTCAGCAGTGGAGATTCCAGAATCAGTATCGAGAAGCAACGGGACCCGGAAGCCTTTTGAACCAGCACCGTGCCGCGCACATGGCAGGTGTCAGGGTAGGGCTGAACGTCTTCCGGTCCCACGGAAGACGCTACATCCGCCGCCGAATCGCGCTAGAAAGATGGTGCAAGCACAAACACCCGGGCAACCTTGAAAAGCCACCACAACACCACGAAACGGCAGGTCGAACCGGATGCAGAGCCAACACCGAGCAGATGGCCACGCAACCACTCCGGGGGCTGGATCCACTCTGCCTTCACCCTGAATCTCGCGATCTGCGATTTTCGTCCGCTGTGCTTGTGCGAGGGAGGGGTCTGGGGCTCTTTCGTTTGGGAGGGGCGTACCGGGGTGCGTTTGATTGGCGCGGTATGCAAGCATGCGCAGGGGAAACGGAGATGCACGACGTCAAGATGAGGTACAGTGTTGATGTGTTTGTTTCTGTCGGTTGCGTGCAGTGTTGCGATGGCGTGTGCAGCCCTCGATTGCCTGAGACAGTCGATTGTAAGACCTTCTTTTTCTCTAGGGGTCTGGCGGGGATTCGCTTTCTCTTTCGCTTATCGCAGAGCGCAAATGGCTGCATGTGAGCTTGGCCAAGGCTTAGGGGCAGCCGCGGGCGTTGGTCGGACGAACTAGCTCGGATATGGTGCTGTGTACAGAGGACAGTGTACAGTACTCCGTGGGCGATGCAGGTTCCACCACTGTGGTTACCAGAGAGGGCACTCGGAGCCGCATGGCCGAACGGCGATCGACGACGACGGACGTAACTTTGTTCGGACCGTTCTTCGCGAAACGACAGTGGTGGATGTAGAATGAGTCGAAATCGCGTGGCCGTAGTGTGCTAGTCGTGATTGGCTGTTGGACCTTCTGGATACCGTATCCACGCCGTATCTGAGGCGTGACACTAGCCCACTCGATGCAAGCGAACCGGAGACGGGCAGGCAGGCCATCCGGCGCGCTGGTGCTCGCCAGCCAAGCCGTCAGTCCGCCGCCCGCTGGACCAAATCCTTTACTGGGGCGGCGCCTGGGTCCTCATTAGCAGTAGCTGCTGCTACCTTTATTATCATCTACCTCATCCCCCCCGGCCTGGCCTTGTTGTCCTTGCCATACAAACTCTACTACCTTTTTAATACCTGTCCCTCTTTGCATTTCTCCTTCGCCTGACTAATCTCTGCCCCCAAGTGGCGATATCTCGCCCACCATGAGTCTAGTCGGCAATTTCACAACCAACATGGACCGCGAGGCTGTATCCGGCGGCGTTCCACCACCAGAGATGGGCGGCAGACAGCCTTCCCACTACAACGACAACGAGCAAGCAGAGTCAGATGCATCCACAATAGCAGCTGTCGAGGGCTCGCCCCAAAGTCACAACAACCACACCGACCGCAAGGATGGATCTTACAACACACATGACGCCGACGAAATCGCCGAGGCTGCTCGGAGAGAAGAGGCCGTTCACCAATTGGCCCGCAGACTTACCTCGCAGAGTCAACAATCTGCAGCAAACCAAAACCCCTTCAACGCGGCACCCAATTCCGCTCTAGACCCCCATGGCGAGCACTTCAACGCACGAGCATGGACCAAGGCTATGCTGAACCTACAGCTGAATGACGAGAATGCGCCTCCTACACGAACTGCGGGTGTATCTTTCCGCGATCTCAACGTCCACGGTTTCGGAACCGACACCGATTACCAAAAGACTGTTGGCAACGTGTGGTTAGATGGACCTGCGTTTGTCAAGAAGATCATGGGTGACAAGGGCCGCAAGATCGACATTTTGCAGCACTGTGATGGTTTGGTCGAGGCTGGCGAGATGTTGGTCGTTCTTGGACCTCCTGGATCTGGTTGCTCGACTTTCCTCAAGACTATTACTGGAGAGACGCACGGCTTTGTCGTCGACTCAAGCTCGCACATCAACTACCAGGGTGTCAGCCCAGAGCTCATGAACAAGAATTACCGCGGTGAAGCCATCTACACTGCCGAAGTCGATGTTCATTTCCCCATGATGACTGTTGGAGAGACTCTTTACTTTGCTGCTCAAGCTCGTCGGCCAAGGAACATTCCAGGCGGCGTCAGTGTAAAGCAGTACGCCGAGCACCAGCGCGATGTCATCATGGCCTTGTATGGAATTTCTCACACCGTCAACACTCGCGTCGGTAACGACTTCCTTCGTGGTGTCTCTGGTGGAGAGCGGAAGCGTGTTACCATCGCCGAAGCCTCCCTCAGCAGAGCGCCACTGCAAGCGTGGGACAACTCCACCCGTGGTCTTGATTCCGCCAACGCCATCGAGTTCTGCAAGACCCTCCGCATGGAGACTGAGATCAACGGCACCACCGCCTGTGTCGCCATCTACCAGGCACCTCAGGCTGCCTACGACCTCTTCGACAAGGTACTTGTGCTCTACGAGGGTCGCCAAATCTTCTTCGGAAAGACCACCGACGCGAAGGCCTTCTTCGTCAACATGGGTTTCCTCTGCCCTGACCGTCAGACCGATGCCGATTTCTTGACTTCTATGACCAGCCCTTTGGAGCGTATTGTTCGCGAGGGCTTCGAGAACCGTGTCCCACGCACTCCGGATGAATTCGCGCAGCGTTGGGCCGAGTCTGCAGAGCGAGCAGCTCTCCTTCAAGAGATCGAAGCCTACGAGCAAAAGTACCCCATTGGTGGCGAGGCTGGCCAGCGCTTCAAGGAATCGCGCCAGCTGCAGAAGGCCAAGGGTCAGCGCGAGAAGTCCCCATACACTCTCTCGTACATGCAGCAGGTTAAGCTTTGCTTGTGGCGAGGCTTCGTTCGCTTGAAGGCTGACCCCAGTATCACCATCACGCAACTCATCGCCAACTCCATCATGGGTCTTGTCATCTCGTCCGTCTTCTACAACCTCCAGCCTACCACTTCCAGTTTTTACTCTCGATCCGCCCTTCTCTTCTTCGCCATCCTGATGAACGCTTTCGGTTCCGCCCTCGAGATTCTGACCCTTTACGCTCAACGTCCCATTGTTGAAAAGCACTCTCGTTACGCCTTGTACCACCCGTCCGCTGAAGCCTTTGCCAGTATGTTGACCGACATGCCATACAAGATTGTCAACTCCATCACCTTCAACCTGGTCCTGTACTTCATGACGAACCTCCGACGAGAGCCCGGCAACTTCTTCTTCTTCGTCCTCATCTCCTTCACATTGACGCTCGTCATGTCTATGTTCTTCCGTTCCATCGCCTCTCTGTCCCGCTCTCTTGTCCAGGCTCTCGCACCCGCTGCCATCCTCATCCTGGGTCTCGTCATGTACACTGGTTTCGCTATCCCTCCCAGCTACATGCTGGGCTGGTCCAAGTGGATCCGCTACATCAACCCTGTCAGTTACGGTTTCGAGGCCCTCATGGTCAACGAGTTCCACAACAGGCAATTTGAGTGCAACGAGTTCATTCCTTTCGGCCCCGGCTACGAAGACGTTTCTGGTGTTCAACAAGCTTGCAGGACCATCGGCTCTGTTCCCGGACAGCCATTCGTTAGTGGTGATGCTTACATCAACTCGGCCTTCAACTACTACGCAAAGAACAAGTGGCGCAACTTCGGCATCATGTGGGTCTTCATGTTCGGTCTCATGGGTGTCTACCTCGCTGGTACTGAGTTCATCACCGCCAAGAAGTCCAAGGGCGAAGTCCTTGTATTCCAGCGTAGCCACAAGCTCCCTGCGCCCAAGAGCAAGTCCGAAGAGGATCTGGAAGCCGCTCAACCTGCACGCAATGCCTCTGTTCAGAACAGCTCCGACGACATCGCCATCATCGAACGCCAAACCGCCATCTTCCAGTGGGAGGACGTCTGC